CATCATAGGTTAAATATTATCGAGGTCATTTCATATATAAGTATACAGTGGTAAAATATCGATGCAGATATTTGTTCATGTTAGGGTTATGTTCGTTATAACAGTCATGACTTACAAGTTAGTAATTTTATTAACAGCAAATGATAATTGGACGTATATTTCTTTTTACATTTAGCACAAGTCGTGTGTTCATATTTGTAGTTATATTCAATAACAAAAATACACAACTTTTTAATAATTTTTAAGTTCCATAACGTAATAACCTAAATATTATAATTAATAATGGTAATTGTAGGACAATATCAAATTTTGAAGGATATTTTGTATGATCACTTGTTTCTATATTTTTACATATCAACATAATAAAACGCAAGGAATAAAACTGTTAAATTTAACACAAGTTTTCGTCTCCCAATTTACGTACATAATTAATATCAGATACACATAACACTTATGCTCTAACACATATGTATATATAGAAACATAACCCTAGACATTACGCGTTACGCACGTTTACGCATATAGAGAAACTGCCTTGAAATTATCATAGATTTCGGGTAAACTTTTTTATCAATAAATTTTGGTTCATTGTAATAAATATATGTGCCTTTGTTCTTGAAGCTAATATATAAAATAGGTAAAAATAACCATTTTAGTAGAAACTTAGCTTGATAAATGAGAGATTTGATACGTGCAAAATGAACGTTTATACAGCTTGCATGTTTTGAAATTATTTGCTAGTGTGTACTATCCACTATCGCATTTTACATCATTGCATCTTTTTCCGATCAATAACGTTAGAAAGAGATAACACAAAGGGTAGGTAGAAATCTACCACACTGTAGGTACATTGTACCTACGTCAGCTTATTTCAGAATTCGTTGTTTCTAAACTCGATCAGTATCCTCGTCCCCACTACTTTTCGATTGGACAAGTTTGGCACGTGATGTTCAAGTAACTTAAGTATGTATGTAGGTGTGACTTGTCAGCTGATGTTTCGTCAAGATTTGCTGCATTAGTTGTCTTCTTAAATTTTTTCTATTATCCTTATTTCTTTCGTAATAATGGCTCTTCACTCTGCGGGGAAGGGCAAACTTCTTGCTGTGATTGGGGATGAGGTAAATGATATGTATATCAAATTTGTTTTTGTACTTAAATGATATTTACAGGAATTTCATTGTAGGATACTTGTGTAGGATTTCTTTTGGGTGGAGTTGGCGAGATCAATAAACATCGTCAACCGAATTTTATGGTTGTAGATAAAAGTACGTGTTGTCATATCTTCGTTTTTATAGAGATCTGTTTTATTTCAATGTTAAATACTACTCATATTTGTATGTGTAAATTTTTAGATCGTTATATATGTAAGTATATATTTCTTAACAGATACAGCAGTAGGCGATATAGAAGATACATTTAAGCGTTTCATTAAAAGAGATGATATTGATATTATACTTATCAACCAAAATGTAAGTGTTATATGAATTTTTAACATAATTATAAAAATGTAGTATATTTTAATAATACAAGTGAAAGTAATACTTCTACTTTAAGATATAATTTCAATTTTTTTTTTTGAATTTAAATACTATTAAATGTTTATTCATGTTAATACATCTTGTAATCCATTTAAGGTTGCAGAAATGATCCGTCATGTAATTGACAGCCATACACAACCTATACCATCAGTATTAGAAATTCCAAGTAAAGATCATCCATATGATGCTAGTAAGGACTCTATTCTAAGGCGTGCTAGGGTAAGATTATATTATTTACAATAATAATTAATGCATCATTTGTGTTCA